CTCAGTCCTGTGCTGACGCCCTGGTGGTTCTGACACTGATGACAGTAGAAGCTGGACAGCCGCATCCCTGAATGACCAAATGGGCAGAGCACGCTCAGCACCACTACTGCACAGCCCACATTGAAAAGAGAAGGAAGTCACTTCCACCTTGGCAAGCTACCAGGATGCCACCGGCCAGTCATTTGTGTCCCCACTTGGCTTTACCTTAACTCACCAAGGTCTCTGGCACTTCTCTTAAACAGATACAGATATTCACACCCTACTTTGTTTTCTAGTATGCCTTCCCAGTTTTGCTAATATACTGAAACTATCATATTTCTCTGTATGACTATAATGGACTTCAGAACTTATTGGAAAATACTTGGATTAAGTGTGATACATTTATATTGATCAATTCCAGCTACTGTGTTTAAGAAATAGCTCCTGGAAACATTTTCTTTTAGAAAAAACAACAGTAAAATTAAAAACTCACAAAAGCAAACCATCAGATAAAGGATATGGTTGTGGGGGGAAAAGGGTCTTTTAAAAAAAATAGTTTTATTCTTCATTCTTTCAACATTTACAAGTACATACAAAAATAAAACCTTTGCAGAGATTTGAGTCTACATTCCAATAAGGGAGAGGAAGACAATGAAGAAACAGTGTAAGTTGTTTGGTGGTATGAAAAAAGAAAACAATTAACATATGCTGGTTTATAAAGAGAACCTTAATATCTGGGGTAAGCAAACAGAAGCCCTTACTAGGACTAGATTCTAAAGTCAAGAGGTAAACTGAATCCACTCAGAGACACCAAGGACACCCTTGGTGGCTTATTACCTTGGGCATAACTTCTGTGAGCCTCGATTTCTTAACTTGTAAAATGGTAAAAATAATTTAGGGGTACTGCAAGAATTGAAAGAAATCATGAATATAAAAATAGTGGCTTAAAAAAATACCTCCAACAAGCTCGGTGCGGTGGCACACGCCTGCACTCCCAGCTACTTGGGAGGCAGTCTTAGGCCAGCCTGGGCAACTTAATGAATCAAAAAAATAAAAACCATGGTGGTGTGGGGGTACAGCTCAATAGTAAAGCACCCCTGGGTCAGGTACCCAGTACAAATTTTAAAAAGGCTAGGGACAGAGTTTGGTGGCAGAGTACCGTGGGTTCAATCCCCAGTACTACCAATCAATTAAAAGGAAAGAAAGCAATGTGTTGGGAACAGACATTCGGTTTTGCTCTTGTTCAATACAAGGATACTCATGTCTGAACTCCACAATACCCCTTAGRAAATGGCCTGTGTGCCACTATACTYAATAGGCRTAGAACTCTTTTAGTTCAATGCCAGAACTGTTTTATCTCCAAGTCAAAAGAACAACTACTTGGAGTAACACCAAGACAAACAATGACAAGCAGCAGGCATTTCATAAGCACCTTATTGTTAACATACTCTAATTGTAAATAGTCAATTTTATTAAATAAGTGTCAGAAAATTTTTTAAGTCCTGGATACTCTTTGGCTGTTTTATTCCTTAACTTTAAAAACCTTTATTGCTTCAATTGAAATAACTTTAAGGACTTTCTGCAGCAAAATGGGCTATAAGGAATCAAATCCCTACTTTTTAAAATCCACGAGTAGGTTATTCTCAAAGAAAACTCCAACAAGGGCCTAAAACAGACTATATGGTATGCACGAGCATCCTCAGTGACCCAGTGAGCAGAAGTCTAGAGCAGCTGTGCTCATCCCACTCCCTCCCAATCTGAGAAACACCACTGGCAACCAAGGCAGGCCACACCGCAGAGGTGCAAGATGTCTTTGGAGTGGTTATGCATGTGGCCCTGGMTGCTGGCACTCTTTCTCCACCCCTCACCTGTGAGTTTAGTGAAGAACATGCCAAGTAGAGCCAATGGGCCAAATCTCAAATGTCCCACTCGGTGCCTGGGGAATAGTGCAGAACAGAGCCTAGCCATAACCTGGTAAGAAACCTGGAAGCTTGATCCACACATGAAAAATGACATCACTTCTCACATCTGCAACACCAACACTGTRATGAAAACACACAAGCTTTTATAAAGATACACAAGAGTGTGTGYATGTGTGTGTGTGTGTATGCTACCAGGGATTAAAGTCAGGGTACTAAACTACTAAGCCACATCCCCAGCCTTTTAGATTTTATTTTGAGACACGGTCTCAGCTATGTTGCTAAGGGCTTCCCCAAGTTCTGAGGCTGGCTCTGAACTTGCGATTCTCCCACCTCAGCCTCCTGAGTGGCTGGGATCACAGGCATGTGCCACTGCACCAAGCAAAGATACAAGTTTTAAGGACAGATCAAACTGACAAGTGGGGACAACTGTGGTCAGCTTTTATATGTTGCCATTAAGTTTTTGCACGACAGGTTTCCTGCATGATGTGAAGGAAACAATGCCAGGAACACAGAGCTCTTCAAACCCACCTTCAGTCACTTAAGCCAACAGGAAGCTCCAGAGACCTGCAACTGGGACTCTGTTCACTGTGATGCAGTGAGACAGGCTGTGCCGCCACTTCAATCAAAGTCTTTCTGGAAACCTGGCTCCYCAGCACCAACCCCATCAACCAGTGTCCCTCAGGATTTCACGTGCACACCCACCACAGCTTCTGCTGAGACCGGCTACCTTTCCACTGCTCCAGGTGGCGCTCTAGCTGTGGGAGGTGAGGTGGCCATAACTCACCAGGTCTCTCTTGAGAGCACRGCACTCAGGTACAAACACACTGCTCCTGCCTCATCTCTGACAAGATCCATACCCAACTGCAGCCTGCAGGGCACTTTGGACAGAGTTCCAATTTACCTTCTCCCCACAGCACCTCCACTAGGAGGAACAAAGGTGGAGTACAAGAGTGTGAGGCAGAGATGGCCAACAACTCCGCCCACCACCAGCCAGGAATGAGGGCCAAGGGAAGCCACCAGAGGTTTTGACAGAGAACACCACCCCTAAGAATGCATGGCTCTTCCACTGAGCACACCACACCTGTACCACAGCACTGCCAGAAAGGGAGGCACTGCCCATGTGGTCCCCAATGCAAAGAGCCCCCTTGGTAAAGGAGCAAAGAACTCGTGTGTCAACACCAGCTTTTCTTGGTTTTAAGAAAAAATGAGGTGCAGTTTACCTATGCACTACAAAGTCAATAAATGAATCTTCACGTGTGTTTATCTATGTAACCACCCAGATCAAAATGYAAAACATTCCCATCACCTCAGGAGGTTCCCTCATGCCCCTAGTCAACTACTCTGCCAGCTACTCCATTTCCTGGAAACCACTGTCCTCCYTTCTGTCTCCCACATCAAACCTGCCTGCACTCACACATCACCTAAGAAGAAAGACACTGCAAGTGCTCTTCTGGCCTGCTTATTTTGCCCAGTGACCATGAGATTCCTGTGACACTGCTGCAGGTATTTGCCATTTTTATTGCTTATRGTAGATTTCATAAAACTATATCACTCACATATCTACTTTCCTACTGACAGACACTGTGGTCACTGTTCAATTCAGGCATTATGACAAGAGCTGCTACGGGCCTCTTCATGTCTTACGTGGTGTGCAACGTAGGCTCAGGTCCAGATGCCGCCAGCTCATCCTTTAAGTCACTGCTCATCTCTGTAACTGGGCCACGCTGGGGGCAAGGGGAGCTCACTGTGGTCCTACTTCTGTGTTATGCAGTCAATCAGGACAAGAGCACCTTCTCATATGCACATCAGCCATTTGGACGGTCTTTATTTAGGTGGGGAGGGTAGCCTCTGTCCAAGTTTTTTCTTCATTTTTACAATATTTTTCTTTTTGATGATTTATAAGAATCTTTATCCAAATGTGTATTTTAAATGTCTTCTCTCATGTTTCAGCTTGCTTTGTCACTTCCTTATTAATGACTTTGGAAAAATAGAACGCCTTAATTTTAATGATATTCAATTGATCCACTGTTCTTTAACAGGTGCTGTATTCTGTCATTCTGAACTCTTTCCCGAACCAGGTCATGAAAATAGCTCAGATATTTTCTGCTAGAAGCTGGGCTTAGCTTTCCCCTCACCTTCCCACCAACATCTTTGGACTTCTCACCCCAGTGAAATCCGTCTTATCTGAGGTGGTGCCTTCTGACAACACAAACTGAATGCATTAAACCATGCTCATTATTGTTGGCTATTATTTAAAAACAAATAAGCCCCTGATACGAACTAACAAATGACAGAATTGGGTCCTTAACTCCTCTGGGAATGGCTGCGACAACTCCTCGCAGACCTGAGCTTTCATTTTAGTCTCCAACAGTGTAGCTCACCTCCAAGACCCCACTGCACACACAGCCACCATCTGCCACCAAAGCTGAAAGACAATTCATCATTTCTGATAAACAAGTGCTAAAACTAGACACACTCTGAGCAGACGGCAAGTGAGCACGTGTCCCAACCCTGCTGCAAGTCCTGGGTACACCCGGTTGGCATAGCACCTCTCTCAGCAATGGACTTGRGTTCAGAAGAGGACAGAGAAAGGAATGAGAATTCTGAACATTCATTCAACTCATGGGACAGCGGTGAGCACTAAAATTCTTTAAAATAAACAGATAAAACCCAACCCTATCCCCAGGCTCCCAGATGGAGTCACAGTGGGAGACGTTTGGGTTCATCTGGCTGAGGGACAAACTCTCCTCCATGAATTACCAAAGTTACCAAAGTACAAACTGAGAATCACCGTGACTTTCCTTTAGTGAGAAATGAGATGTGCCCTGTCTACTGAATAAAACCAAGAAAGTTCATTCTACTATCTTTATATTTTCAATTATCTTATTAGATCAGTCAGAAACTATTGTTACATAGTCAGAAAAATAAAGCCAACTGAATGTTTTCAGATTGTCTTCACATTACCCAAAAGACCTTGTTTTTTTTTTAAACAGCCAATGTGATTTTACCAGATATCAATTAAAATTCATGCAACTCACACATAAATCATGTAGCATTTTTTCTAAAACACAGCTGCCACTGAGGTGAAGGCAGACTCACCCGTGGTGATGGCTCGGTGGAACTGATGCATGTCTTCTCCTGACAGCTCCTGGGCTACCTGCAATATTTTTTGTCTGACACCATCCAATTTAACTTCTGATTCAGTGAGTATTTCTTCCATATCAGGAGCACTATAATTAAGATATTGGAAACTTTTAGAACTTCAGCCAAATGCTTTAATAATGAAAAACCAAAATCATCCAAATATGAATTAACTGGGACTAAATATTTATGTATTTGGATACTTCTAACCCTTATCTACAATTATATTTTATTAATAGGATGGAAAATGTTGTAATATACTACTAGGTACAAAAATTGATTTTAGACAGGTAAGAAAAAGATTAACTGCCACATTCAATGAATAGGTATGGCATATCTGCTTCCAGTTAATGGAATAAAAATTAGAGTATTAGAGACTTATCTTAAAAGTTCTAAATGGTGGTGCATGCCTGTAATCCCAGCTACTCAGGAGGCTCAGGAGGAGAATTGCAGCCTCAGCAGCTTAAGGACCCTCTGTCTAAAGAAAATAAATAAAAATGGCTAGGGATGTAGTTCAATAATAGAGTAACCCCTGGACTCAACGCCCAGTTTTAAGTTAGGGTTGGGGATATGGCTCAGGAATGGAGCACTGCAAGACACTGGGTTTGATTCCCAGTATCATGCAAAAAAAAGTTTTAAGTTAGTGAAGGAATATCTCAATAATGCTTTTGATAACAAAAGGCTATCAMAGTTGGCCTTACCTAATGCTTGATAAGATACACAGTAGAATATCAATCACAGCTATCCCTCTGGAGTGGCATCTAGAATTTGCAACTAGAATCTCTTTTGGAACAGGACCCAGACATATAAGCTGGGGGCTCTAGGGCAGGCACCTTCTACCCCACATGGAACAGAGAAGCAAAGGAAGCTGGCCAAATGAAGTATGAAGCAAAGGAAGTGGCAACAGTGAAAACTGGGAGACACACAGCAGCATCTGCGTAATCACTGCCGCGCACTTCCCTGCTCTGTTTAAGCTACTCTAAGGTGGTTTCTTTACTTTCAGCAAAGACATCAAATACAGACAGTCTGCCTAGAACAAGAACAWAGTAAGCTGGGCGCAGTCGCGCACACCTTTCATAGTTCGGGAGGCTGAGGCAGAAGGATCATAARTTCAAGGTCAGCCTCAGCAACTTAGCAAGACCCTGTCTCAAAAAAGGGCTGAGGATGTGGCTCAGTGATTAAGCACCCTTGAGTTCAATCTTTGGTACCAAAAAAGAACGTAAAGTCCTAAAGGAAGACAATAACAGAAAAGTCAAACAAAGAAGAGCTTTCAAAGACAAGCAGTTTATTCTACAACAGGTAGAATAAAACAGCAGTGTATACACTACAGTTAACAGTATGAAGGTAAMAGAACAACTTTAACAACTGAAAGAGTGCAATGAGTTGGAAACAAATGAGAATGACCATACCTTAACATTTATTTAATATTAAATTTTCACACCTATTAATAAAGTAAAATTTGAATGTATTAGGYTCTAATAAATAATCCAAATTTTATTTTCCCAAATAGCTATATCTGAATGATTGATCTTCATAAAACAGAAAATCCCTGGCTGCTCCAAAATCAAGAATTTTCCCCACCTATTTTTAACAAAACATTTAGTTTTAAAATGTACTTGCTAATACTCTCTGATCCCAATATATTCCAAAGACACCACATCTGACAGCAAGTAACTATTCATTGAGATATAAAAAACATATGTAACTGTATCCAACTGTAACAAATTTTAAACAGGCTTACGCACCTTGTAATCCTATGGAGGAGAAAAATGGTTCTTTTACTTTCAACGGTTATGTCCCGGCTGAGTTTCACCAGCCTCTCATACTTGTCATGCCGTGCATCCAGCTCCTGCTGAAACGCTGAAAACACAGTTGACCGTAAGCAGGCGGGCGCTCACTCAAGCCCTCATGCAGCAGTGGTCGAAGCCACCTGCCTTCACTTGACAAGGAACATGAGCAGAACATGCAGTCACTTAGTCTCAAACCAGGAGGCARGACACTGTCCTCCAAATACCTTTCTGTACATGACAAGGAGGCACAGAAACACACCATTCCTGAATCCCTGAGGCTAACAGAGCTCATGAACTGCATTAAAGCAGCACTGGTGGACTAAAATGAAGATGAAAGGAGCTTTGTGAACCAAACCTTGGTTCCTTAAAAGCTAAAAATATGACTATCACACATAAGTATCTAGTAACACCCCAGTCAATTTATTATAAATCATGTGAACCTGGGGGCTGGGCTTGTGGCTCAGCGCCAGAGCACAGKGTTCGAGCCTCAGAACCACATAAAAATAAAATAAAGATATTGTGACCAACTACAACTAAAAAATAAAATATTTTTAAAAATTAAAAAAATAAATAAACCATGTGAACCTAAAATGCACATTATTTCACCTTGTTACTATACTGCATTCAAACCAAATGTACTTGAAAAAATACTATTTTCAAGAAATAAAGAGGGAAAAAAAGATTGAAAATTCACAATCATTATGTGAATTGGTTTTATTTTAACTTCAGAGCTAAACCATACAGTATTCAGCAAAGACCAGCTGAGAACTRAGTCAGACAACACAGGATGTGAGAAACCTAGAAAGAGGGGCTGAGGCTGGGGCTCAGTGGTAGAGCACTTGGATAGCACATGCGAGGACGGGGTTTCATCCTCAGCCCCACATAAAGATAAATAAATAAAATAAAGATATTGTGTCCACCTACAACTAAAAACAATATTTAAAAAAAAAGAGAAGAGAAATCTATAAAGAGGGGGCTGGGACACAGCCCACTGATGGAGTGTCTGCCTAGCATGTGCAAGACCCTGTGTTCAACCCCCAGCACCACACTTTAAAAAAAAAAAAAAAAAAAAAAAAATGGAAAGAAAGAAATCAATCCGGGGCTAGGGCTGTAGCTCAGTGGTTGAGCGCTTATCTTGCATGTGTGAGGCCCTGGGTTCGATCCTCAGCACCACATATAAATAAATAAATAAATAAATTATAAAGATTTTGTGTCCCATCTACAACTAAAAAAATACTTAAAAGAAAAAGAAAGAAATCGACCAATCAATCTAGGAAGAGGAGAACCAACGAGAAAACCAGAAAGTAAGAGTTCCCAGAACAAGGGAGACTGAAAGCAGCTGTGGTATCCAGTTAATTTACAGTCTGATGATTCATCCTGTCACTGTGAAGAGACCAGAGTCCCCACAACACTATGTAACCACGAGAGTCTCCTTCCCCACTTTCACTCCTCTTTTCCTTCGTGATTATAGAACAAGGCATTGCACAATCTCTAAAACGTCTCGCCCCAAACATCCTTTGCTTGTATGTGACCACTCTGACTCCTATCCTGTTTTTCCTGATCCTGTATGAGCAATTACTGCTAAAGGCACTACTGAAGGGAATTTCTGTTTATACTGGTGAAATATAATTGCTTTTAAACTAATAAGTTTTCATTTCTTCTGCTCAAATTGCTTTTGACAAATATTAGGAAAGATTTTTATTCTAGGGGCTGGGGATGTGGCTCAAGCAGTAGGGCGCTCGCCTGGCATGYGTGCGGCCCGGGTTCGATCCTCAGCACCACATACCAACAAAGATGTTGTGTCCACCAACTAAAAAATAAATATTAAAAATTCAAAAAAAAAAAAAGATTTTTATTCTAATTGCCTTTATTTACAAAAAAAACTAATATAATACTATCAAATACAAAGTGTTTTTTAAGCTTCTTAAAATAATCAACTCTTCACCATTAACTGCTGTTTCAGTCTCAAGATGTTTTCTTTACTAAAATTTATACCAAGTAACAAAATTATTTTTATTACTTTTTTTTTATTTATTTTTTTTTAAATATTTATTTATTTTTTAGTTTTCGGTGGACACAACATCTTTGTTTGTACATGGTGCTGAGGATCGAACCCGAGCCGCACGCATGGCAGGCCAGCGCGCTACCGCTTGAGCCACATCCCCAGCCCCTTTTTATTACTTTTTAAAAGACCCCATCTGTGGCACTGGGTATACTTACAATGGAGAAAAAGGTTAATTTAATTGAAAGAAAATGTTTTACCTTTTCTAGAATAAAGAAAAAAGCTCATTTTATTATACTACACAGAAAATACACATATATAAATAACATTAACTAAAACAGTCCAACACCAGGAGTCTCTAGACATATTAAGATCACCTGCAGGAAAAGTAATGCGTAGAATCCAAGATATTCAAATAGTGAAATCACACCCTCCCTGGCCTGCATACTGCTTTCCTGCTACTCCTGATTCACACTGCTGCCACTCTGWAACACCATTCCCACTGACCACCTCATGATCCACACTTCATCACTCAGATGCCAGCGGATGCGTGAATGGCAGCTGCCCCTTCTCGCTTCCTCTCTAGACCCTGACCATGCTTTGCTGGTCCCTTATTTCCCAGCATTTATGTTTCACCAGCTAACATTATATTGTCTACTTATCAGTGTGTTAACTGGTTCATTCATGAAGGCAAGAGCTCTATCCTCACCACCGCATCCTCAGAGCACAGGACAGCGGTGAAGGCCCAGAGACAGATGTTGAAAAACACTTGACTTGCTAGCTAAAGTCACCGTAGTACAACATGCTGGACAAGAACAYATCTACAGTTTGAAATGAATCCACCACCTGCCAGTGGAATGCTATTTCCCATAAACAAAATTTGTGAAAAGATACTACAAACCCACCTGCCCTCTGAGCACTAACTCCAGCACGAAATGAACTGTCTTACCCTGTAACTGTGAATAGCAGCCTTTCTAAATGGACATTATGCTGCTGGAATTCAMACTATAACTATTCATTAGAGCTACTGATACAAATCAGTTCTAAAGCACTGTTCAATSTGCTGCACGGCCTTCCCTCATGTCCTGCTACCTGCAGAAAAGCAGCACGATCCATTGGCAACTAAAAAATATTTAAAAAATAAAATTGATATTGTAAAATAAGATTTTAAGTTTCTTTACTCTTATGCATCAACAGTAGTAAAATATTCATCTAATGACTCCTTTTAATGAAGTAAGTTTTGTACCTTTGACAGCAAAGTATTTCCTGAAGCACCTTGGGTTTAAGTTTAACCAACCACATCATCTCATCACATTTTCTCTGTAAGATAGTGTTCTCATTGAAGACCTTCCTGGGGCTGGGGCTGGGGCTGGGGCTCAGTGGTAGAGCACTTGCCTGGCATGTGTGAGGCACTGTTTTCCATCCTCAGCACCACATATAAATAATACAAAGTTATTGTGTTCATCACAACTTAAAAGGAAAAAAAAAAAAAGACCTCTGCTGAAACCTCCTCCCACAGATCTGTAATGTTTACAAGGACACATGGCAATCTTGGAGAAGGAGAATATTTTAATTTGCTTAGAATACAAAATGGCTAGAAGGCAAAAACTGCACTTAAAAATACTGTTAATATGCACAAAGCAATTATTTACAAAAATGAAGAGGACAAAATCACCTTATTTCTAAATTACATGGAAATCAAAGGTTCTACTAGAAACCAAAATATTCTTAAATTGCAGACATGCCTTATTTGGGTTCTCTCACAAAGGAGGCTCACAATGAGCATTTTGTGCAAAATATAAAGACATGCCCACCTTCATGAACATGAAATGTGATCATAAAATGACACAAACTGCTTACAAAAATTAACTTTAATTGTCATCCATAAGATAAAATAGCTTTTCACATACAATATGTATATCTCCAGAAAATAAATGCCTTTTTTCACATTGATGACTTTTTCCTGTTCTTTGCTTGTCTTCCTGTCATCATGGCTTCACCAAGCTGTAACTGACACATCAAAATTGTGCACACAGGCTGGGGATAGCTCAGCGGCAGAGCACTTTTCCAGCATGCACAAGGCCCTGGGTTTAATYYCTAGCACCAAAAAATGATCATGAATACATACAGCATACAACCTGATGCTGGTACACATGGACACCGTGACATCCTCGTGCCAAGGAGCACACCCATCACCTCACAAAGGTCTATTTTTATGTGGCTGAGAGTATTTCAGAACTACTYGGCAAATTTCAAGTATCAACTTTCCAAATTCTCAAGCATCATCATTGAAATGCCCATAAACCACTTACTTTTCTCATTAATGACCTTATTTCAGAAGCATTTTCACTCCAAAGACCCAGGAAGTTGCCTGGCTTATAGGGAATCGACAGATGTGTTCTGCCAAGAATTAAAAAGCAAGAACTTAAATAAACTATTAGCCAAGTTAGTAGCTGGCCAGGACCTCAATTATAATTTTTATAAGCAGCTTTTATTACTAAGATGAAATTAGGCGAAGATTTCATCTAATATTTCAAGGTAATAGACACTTATTATTTAATCATACACTATATTATGAAAACTTCAAGGCTCACTGTGAGCTGGATGTGGTGAATATAAAATTAGTTAAGATACAGTTGTTATCCTCAAGGAGCTCAGACCAGTATCAGAGATAAAACAAATAAATAAGATGTAATTGTGCTATAGCAAATATATATATTAGATTTAGCTAAGAGATATCAATAACCGTCTCTTCACTGGGGGGATGGATAATTAACATGTTTACCACCAACAAGCTACTTGAACCAGATCTCAGAGAAAATCATGATTCACCAAATAGGCAATGAAGGCACTGAGTTAGGAGCAACTCCAAGCTGAAGAACTATGTGCTCCAAAGCAGGCAGAAATGCAAAACATACCAGAAGTAGCTAGTGCTATATGGGAATGTGAAGTGCAGAACACTAGAYTTGCTAGTTTCTCCCCAAGTATGTAGCTGTATCAGTATGCTCTCTGTTCAGTTACAGCTTGAATCACTGGAGATCACTGTAGATACTGTGCTAGCCTCAAAATACTGTGACTCTCCCCTTTTAAAAAATGAAACCTAATTCCTTTCCCCTTAAACATGAGGTGGTTTTAAAACTGCCTTGCTAGCAAATACAATGTGGTAAAAGTGACAATGTGTGATGTCTGAGGTTTGCAGGTTAAGGACCCATGGTTTCTTCCTTATTCTCTTTAGGGAAAGTAGGTACCATTCATAAGGACACTCCCGCAGCTCTATGGCCAGGAACAGAGAGCTGCTTGTAGTCAGAAGGCTTATACTGTGAACAGCTCAATCCCTCAAGCCCCAATCTAGCTTCCAATGACTGCCAGTCAGAACCGGCCAGGTGAATACCTTCCTTGTTACTGAACCACAGAAACTATGCAGTACAGGTCAGCAGACAGAGGGGGCAGARAAGGTGTGTCTTGTGGCTTCAAAATGGGGAGAAACCTGACCAGTTTAGTAGGCTGAGAACAAGGCGACCATGGATCTATACGCGTAMGTAATCCACTAACAATGGTCCCTTCCTGTGTCAGGTCACAACAGTCTGCCTTCAAAAGACTGGTTAACAAAAGTAACACACACTGAACACGAACATGCTAGGCAACCAGCCGAGGAGCCACGACCAGGCCCAGGGCAACGTCCAGGCCCGTGCCGTGCTCAGTACCCACTGCCGTTCACTCGTGCCCTCATGCCAGCGTGGGGGCAGCGGGCCCTGGAGTCACGCCTAGACTCCAGGCTTTCCAGGCAGAACCACCCGCGTGCCCACAGCGGCAGCCCAGGAAAGCAGGTGCACACGGACGCGCCGCGGCCGGTCCCCGCCCGCCAGCCCGGGGCACTTACACTTGAAGGCCAGCATCACCGGCGACGACGCGCTCACATCCTTGCCCTCTCTGCGCTGGCCGTGCGGGAAGTTGTCGTGCTTCCTCTTCCTGAAGCCGCCCGGGCCTGTGCGGAAGAGAGGGGCGCTAGGTGGACTCGCGCCGCCGCGCCCTCCCGCCCCGGCCTCCCGCGCCCGGGATCCCCGGGCCTCCCGGCGGCGGGCGCGGGCGCGGCCGCTGCGATAGGATGGCGGCGCAGCCCGGGACCCGACGGTCACCGCGCCCGCGCCTGCGCCCGAGCCCTCCGGGGACGCCACCTTCTTTGCCGCTCATGTCGGGCTGCCTTCGCTGGGACGCGCGGAGACTACAGACGCAGCASGGCGCCCGCGCCCTCTACAAGACAGGACAAGGGCCTGCGGGAAAACCGCGCGACGCGTGACGGCCACGCACACCGGAAGCCCGCTCGCGGCGCTCCCCGGCCGCGCACACTTCCGGCTCCGTCGCCGGCGTTCCCACGGCCATGCACACTTCCGGCGCGCGTGCTGAGTCCTCGCCGGCTCTCTCCCGGCCGCTCTCATTTCCGGCCCCGCCGCTGGAGCATCTCCACCGCCCGGCGCAGCCGACCTCCGCGCAGTGCCCGCAACCTCGGCGCGCAGGTGCAACTGTAGCCCGGAAATCCGACGGGCGCCGGCGAAGTACCTGGGCCCGCACTCGGTCGCCCTCGGGAGACGAGCTTCTGCGAGGACTTGAGGCGTAGGGTGTTCTGGTCACGGCTCCGGGCGTGAGCCTCAGACCTCCACACGGCGCCCCCTCGAGGGCTGGCGGCGGCACCGCCGGGTTGGGGACTGCGATGGGCAGGACCTTCGCGGGCCGGCCCGCAGCCCGCTGGCTGCACCCTCGTGACGACCCCCGAGCCCGCCGGCCACTTGCACGGGGCAGGCACTTACTGCAGCTTTCCTGTTGAGCTAGGAGCGAAGGCGCACCAGGGTTGCGCGAGTTAGTGACAAGGCCCATCAGAAGTGCCCTAAACCAGGCGCGGAGGCTCAGGCCTGTGGTCCCAGCGACTTGGGAGGCTGAGGCTGTGAGTTAAAAGCCAGCCTCAGCAACCGCAAGGCCCTAAGCAACTCAGTGAGACCCTGTCTCTAAATAAAATACAAAATAGGGCTGGGGATGGGGCCCAGTGGTCGAGTGCCCCTGAGTTCAATCCCTGGTACACGCCCTCCCGCGCCCCCCCACCAAAAAAAGGAGAGCCCTAGGAGTGTTCTTTTCCCAGGAGAGTAACCCATCGACTCCTTTGCAACGCTGAGTGCGAGCTTGACTAGCCAGATTCCTTGCAGATAAAGGAGGCTCCTGGGGACCTTACATGCCTAATACCCATTAGGCATATGATTCTCCCGAATGTGTGACTTCTGACCCTGGTTGACACCCACAGTATTCCACTACCCTTATTATTTTTTTTTTAGTTGTAGACGGATAGATACCTTTTATTTTTATTATTATTATTTTTTTTATGTGGTGCTGAAGATTGAACCCAGCGCCTCACAGGTGCTAGGCAAGTTCTCTTCCACTGAGCCACAACCCCAGCCATCCACTACCCTTTGATTAGAGGTGACATGGCTATGGAAAAAAAAAAAAAACTGATATAAATGTAGTAGTTTTTCTAAACGTTATTTTTTAGTTGTAGGTGGACACAATATCTTTTATTTCATTTTTACATGTGGCTGAGGATTGAACCCAGTGCAGTCTACCACTGAGCCACAACCCCGGCCCCTAAATGTAGTAGTTTTAATGTGACTTCCTCTAGCCTCAAGAAATCCAGTAGTTAGAACATTTGTMGAGTACATTTGTAGAGTCAGTGATTTTTTTTTTTAAACCAGTCTAGAATAAGGATTTTTCTCCATATCTTTTATTGGTTCATTAAAGTTGTACCTAAGGGTGGGATTTGTTACACTTTCATACATGCACACGATATAACAATAAAATTGGAACCCATGTCAGTTCCTATGGGATAAGGGTATTTTCCTATTTCCTAATAGCAGCTCCCAGGACCTCAACTTTGCAAAACCTAGATCTCTTCCATTTCCTTCCTTTCTGCAGTCACCACTGCTCTGGCCTATTTAGCCACAGCTTTGTCACCTGAACTGCTTTCACCGCTTCCCATAGATACCATGATTAGAGCACTAGTTTCATAACCTGTAAGGACTTCTCAAAGCACTTGGTGGAGGTGAATCYCCAGGGCTCTTTCCCAGCACTTATTTGCATATGGCAGGTTTGCCAAGTGTCCCAAATGTAACTACACCTTTTGTGAGGAAACATCTTGCAACCTCTGGCAACCTGCAAGCCAATCCCTCCTGTTTTCTTGTTTATTGCTTCAGATACAGACACAGAGTTGSCACTTAGCCAGCTTGTTTTCCATCAGGGAGAGCAAGGTGGGGAGTTTCCCAAGACCTCATCTCTGGGATGCTGCTCCTCCCTTCTGTTGCATTCTGACCTCCCATATTTGATTCTGAATAAAGTGCTAAGCCTTTTAATCACACCTGTTGTTATCCAGTATATAAGTCCTCACTCCAGTTGCCTTCATAGGAGGAATAAATACCACATGTCAGGTTTGGCTTTGGATATTGTGGGGGAGAGGAATCATATAACCAAGAAAGAATAAATGAAGCCCTCAAGAGATTACGTTTAAGTTTCTTCCTTATTGTGTGCTACTCTACTACTCAGCTATATTACCTCCCTTTTAGGTACAAATTCAACATAACAGACTAGCACAATTTGGAAACAATGTGTGATAATAAGCAGGATTAAGGTATAAATTATGATGTAGCCACCTGAAGTATAATTATGGGGCCATAACCCAAGGGTGAGGTGGTTATACATATTCTACAAAAATATTTTAATGTTTACTTCTCATGGTTAAACAGCTAAGCCAGTGGTTCTCAACAAAAGGTCATCTCCTCTTGGGACATCTGGCAACACCTAGAGACCTCTCTGGACATTGGGAAGTGGGACTAGGTCACACTGGAAGTGGGACTGGCATCTGGAGTCCAGGGTACAGCTGATCATCCTGCAGTGCTCAAGAGAGCCCCAACCAATGTTCCACCCCAAATGTTAGTAGTGTGGTCGGTGAGGAACTGAGAGACCCTGCCCTAAAATTATCAGGTGCAGGGGTGTGGGGAAGCCATGGAGGGGGGCCAAGGAGACACCAGTTAACTGACCTTGACTACAAAGGGAAAAGGAGGCAATGGCCAAAAGTATCAGCAGGCTCTCCCAGCTTGCCACAGGGGGACCACCTCCACTTCCACAGCTGCTGTTCTTACTCCAGAGCTTTTCCTTTCCTTTACCTGTGGAGTCATATCTGGGGCATGATGGTGACCGTTCGTTCTCTGTGACCACATTTATGGAGAAGGTGTCGACCAGGAACCGAACTAAAAAACCACCCACTAACTTCCTAGCAAGTCAAGGCCTGGCTTGACATCACAGCCTCTCACCTACTCCCGTCCTGAGTAAGTCCGTGGTCCTAGAGCCCCTGAAGAAAAGAGGACAGCCACTCCTGAGGACCCCAGGACAGGACAGGGCTCAGTGCAGTGTTGTGGGCTGGTCTGCTCACTGTGCTTTTCATGTCTCCTGTTTCCTTACTGATAGAAATATGTAATTTTGTCTACTTATTTCATCATTTACTACAAGAAATGTATGAAAACCCAGTATTATAGATTTGTAAACTTCTTGTAATTCTGTCAGATTTTGTACTGTGTCTATGTCTTTCTGTCTAGAAAGGCAGTCCTACAGTCTGTCCACTCCTGCTCAGCTATACAAAGGTAGGCCTTGGGCCCAGAACATTATTTATAAAAAGGAGCCCACACAGCTTGAGCTGGACTTTTTGTCCTGTGAAGGAACATGCTTCCCAGTCCAGTCTTGTGCATGCTCTGTTCTGCTCAAGGGCCTGGGTTGAGGCACCCAGGCACATCCCCAGCTCTTTGTCAGCTCCCTGGGGTGAGGGGAGGCCTGGGGTCCTTGCACTGCAGCATGTGAACACTGTCATCTGTCAACTGCAGGACAGACCCACTGGCCGTGGAGGCCAGTGCATTGCAAGGGGCTGGATCTAGCACATACTCTCTCCTCTCTTCCTGTGTGGTCTTCTCTATACTGTCTGTCCTTAGCAACCTSAAGTCATGTGCTGGTCTCTTCCCAGATGATATCTGCCTTTTAACCTCAGCCCCAGGCATCTTACCRTCATCCTGTAGGGTAGCCTAACCACTCTAAGCAGAGAAACTATGAATTCAGACTAGTTACAGACAAATGACTTATATAAAAGCATATATATTTGCAAATTATACACACCTGTGTGTCTGAGTGTGTGTTACTGTTAAATCCAACTACTTTTTATTAAGACATGAACTTCTTTACCTTTATGGCAATGTTCATTTTAAAGACATACCATACAGTAATATGCAGGCTATCTACTAGTATTGTTATAGCAGTGGCCAGCTTTCTTTGGGTTAGGGATTGCACCATGTATTCTTTACACCTTTTAACTTTCCTACATCCTTATAGTTTAAATATATTACTTATAAAAAGCATATAACCTGCTGGACATATAATGTGCATCTGTGGTCCCAGCTGATTAGAAGCTGAGGCAGGAGAATCACCTGAGCCCACGAGTTCAAGGCCAGCCTGGACCAAATAGTGAGACTTTGTCTAAACAAACAAACAAACACACATATATTTTTTAAAAACCTGGGGTTTCTTCCTTTATTCAGCATGGATATCCCTGTACTTTAGTTGGACTTATTAGCCCATTTACACTTAATGTAATTACTGATGATTCAGCTTAAATCTACCACTTAGTGTTGCCGCTTGTTTTAATTGCTCTGTGAACCTCCTCTTCTTGCTTGACTTCTTTTGGGCTAAGGCTTTAAGAAATTCTTTTCCTCCACTGCTCAGTGTTATAGTTACACCCTCTTCCTCCAGCTGTTGGTGGATGACAATGTGTCTCCTAGACTCACCAAGATCTCATGTTCTTGGCTACTTTTACCTTCCTCCTGAACAACTGCAAGTAACCAAAAACATTTTTTATTCTATTTTCCCTCTTTTTATTTATATGTTGTTTCATGTTTTAAATTTTTATGCATATTTTAAACTCTGTAAGGAATTGTCATCAGCTCAGGTGATTGAGATTGATTGAACTACCTCATGTACTTTCTGTCTTCATCTTTATTTCCTTTTGTTTTGTTCATTGAGAAATAAAACTTGTTCATATTTATGACATTTTGATATAAGTATGTGGAATGGCTAAATTAAGCTGATTAGTGCATATGTTACCTGGACATTTATCCATTTTTTTGTGGTGAGAAGACTTAACATCTCCTATCTCGGCCATTTTCAGGTATACACTGTGATATGGTGACTAGGGTCACCAGGCCAGGCGTAGCTCTYTTAAACTATCTGGAT